AGAAGAAGAAGATTGGGTTATGCAAACTCAGAATTACTGGGATTAAACAGGGATACCTGTGTTCACTTTTGCATACCAACAAGGCTACACTTCAGTGTTGTCAACACTATAGACTCTTTTTATCCAGCACCACCCATATTCATTCACACAGTGACTCATGAACGACGATGCACACCTGGTGAAGTCTACCTCCAATGTTCCTTCTGTTTCATTAGCACCCTTGTAGGGCAGAACTTCTCAACTTTAGCCACTTGCAATAGGTGTGGACTTCAACTCGCAGAATTCCGAGCTGGCTGGGGAATTCTGGGAGTTGAAGTCCACACATATTAGTTGTATGGACTTGAGGTGGAAGTCCGTACATATCACATACATTTGTAACTTGTAACACATACAAGTGTAATATTACTATTAATCTTCTCATCACTCCTTATCACCTATCCCCTTCCACTCTTGACTGTATGATTGTAACTCATCTCCTTACGATTTATATTGACTGTTTCCTAGTATGATTTGATTGCTTATTTGTACCCTATGACTATTATTAAGTGTCGTACCTTATGATTCTTGACTCTTGATGAATCTTTTCTTTTATGTACACTGAGAGTATTTACACCAGGACAAACTCCTTGTGTGTCCAGTCATACTTGGCCAATAAAGAATTCTATTCTATTCTATGTTGGTAAGTTGAGAATCACTGCAAGGAGTTCAGGCTGATCGAGAAGGTCTCCTTCCCTGCTGGTTAGATATTGGTCTTAAACTTTTCTGCTTTCTGTGACTCAGAATAATGGCTGAACCAGGGGTGGGATTCTACAGGTTCACACCTATTCACTAGAATAGTCTTTGGGACCCTGCAAGGCAGGGGTGAGATTCTACCAATTTGCACCTATTCGCTAGAACTGGTTATTAACATTCTAAGCAGTTTGGAGAACCGGTTGTTAGAAGAAATTACTGGCTAATCCTGTAAGGAAGGCAGGAAGGAAACATTCTGGTGTTGCTTACAGAAACTGCCTCTTCGTTAACCCTTATGACATTCTTGGCAGGACTAGACTTCCTGTCTCAGGAACTTCTCTGGAGTTTTTTCCCCCTCCTTTGTTGGTACTTTGCTTGTGTGGAGTGACCATTCAAAGTTACAATGGCACTGAAAAAAGTGACTTATGACCATTTTTCACACTTACGGCTGTTGCAGCATCCCCACAGTCATGAGAGGCCAGGCAAGGAGATGCGTGCCTCGATGTGAGTGATATTGAGTTGGCCATGCCCAGCCAATAACATGACCAACAAGACACACCCACCACCTAAGCCGTGCCCACAGAACCGGTTATTAAAAATTTTGAATCCCACCCCTGGGCTGAACCATGCAAAGAGGAGGTTGAGCTGTTGAGTGTCTCTATTCCTCCACACACCCCGTCTCCTGTGATCCATTATTCTGAGTCACAGAAAGTAGAAAAGTTTAATATGTAAGCAGCAGGGATAGAGATCTTCTTCATCAGCCTGAACCCCTTGTAGTGTTTCTCGACGTTAGGAAATTTAACATGTGTGGACTTCAACTCCACTCCTCCACACATTCCGTCTCCTGAGGGATCAAATTTATACCTCATGGAGGGTCATGAATTCATGATGTTTCAAACTTTGGTTGGTGAGAACAAGGCCTGGCAAACGAATTCTTGTTCTGTGCCCCAGGCATCACTATTCACTTATTTGATTTATAATATATATGTTTTATCTCTCCATGGTTTTCTGTTCGGTGCAATAGGTAACAATGCACATAAATAGGCAAAGCTTTGACTAGATTGTCACAGTGGCCATCTGGCTTATTATGACACACCCTGCAGACATCTTGTCATGCCCTTGTTGGAGTCTGATTCTGAGGGGGAGATTGAGCAGCTAACAGGGAGTGGGAGTATGGCTCCAGTGGTTGTGGAAGAAATTGGGGAAGGGCACAGTCCAGCTGGACATTCAGAGGAAGACCCAGGACCATCCCCTCTTCATCCTAGGGTACACAGGGAGGAATGGAGAAGGGAGCAACGTGGCTTGCGAGAGAGAAGAAGGCCCTGATCCTTTTCATTAGTTGCAGCTGGGAGAACAGGATATAAGTGGGGCATTTGCACACAGTTCCTTGCTGGAAGCAAAGCGTGCATTATCTTGGTCGAGGCTTATCTGGGTTTTGGCGTCCTCCCTACTTGTGGCTGCCGCGTTATCCTTGAAAGTCTGCAATTTATCATCCTGGCCTGCCGTGTTAATTACTTCAGTGTGGTTTGTGTTGGTTTTTTAAAATTTCTAATTATCTTTACTTTGGGTTCAGACTGCATTTCTGCCTTTCGTAGATTGTTTTTTTTTTTTTTTTTTTTGAAGAGTTGGTTATCCAGCCAAGGATAATTGGACATTGGGGCCAAGTTGGAGGCATTAAAGGGAATTTATTGTACTTTTGTGACTTTGTTATTTTTCTGTCACACCCTGGGTCATCACACACCTGCTCCTTGGTGTCTAGGGGCAAGCTATTATGTATGTTGTTGTTAGAGATATATGTACATAATGTGTAGTTATGGTGTGTGTGTGTGCACGTCATGCCCCTGGTGGAGACTGACTCGGAGGGAGAGGAGGAACAGCCAGCAGGGAATGGAAGTGTGGCTCTGGAGGTTATGGAGGAGGCTGGGGAAGGGCAGAGGCTGGCTGGGCAGTCAGAGGAGGACCCAAGCCCATCCCCTATCCATCCTAGGGCACGCAGGGAGGAGAGGATAAGGGAGACATGTGATCTACTCAGGAGGAGAGGGCCTTGATCCTCTTCATGGGTTGCAGCTGTGACAACTGAATAAGAGAACGGACTTGCGTACAGGAAAACGCTGGAAACAAAGCGTGTTTTATTTTGGTCTGAAGTTATCTTGGTTGGTGTCTTTTCAACAGACTGTGCCTTGTTATCTCCTTGAATTTGATAAATACTTCTCCTGTTCCGTTGTGGAAATTTCGTCATTGTAGCTTGTTTGGTTTTTTATTTCACCTCTATCTGCTCGTTAAGTTTGGACTGTACTGCTTTCTTTTGAAGACTATTTTTGAGTACGTTTTATTTCCAACTGAGTATTATTGAACAGTGGGGCCAAATTGGAGGCATTAAAGGACATTTATTTATGTTTTGGATTTTGTTACGTTTGTGTTACACCCTGGGTCATCACAATGTACATATGTATGTATGTATGTATGTATATATGTGTGTAGAGAGAGAGGGGGGGATGGAGGGAGGGAGGGAGGGAAAGAGAGAGAGAGAGTGAGTGAGTGAGTGAGAGAGAGAGAGAGAGAGAGAGAGAGAGAAAGATGTAGTCCTCTACTTACAACCACAATTGAGCCCAAAAATCATGTTAGTAACTGAGACATTTGTTAAGTAAATTTTGCCTCATTTTACAACTTTTTTTGCCACGGTTCTTAAGTGAATCACTGCAGTGGTTAAGTTAACAACACTGTTGTTTAATTGAATCTGGCTTTCCCATTGACTTTCCGTATCAGATTTTCCCAAAAGGTGATCACATTACCCCGAGACACTGCAACCATCATAAATATGAGTCAGTTGCCAAGTATTTAAAATGTAAATATGTTATGTATACAATTATATAAAATCCAAAAGAATACTATGAACACATTTTCTTCCCGCTTTGAGAATAGATTTCAGGCAGAATCTACTAGGAAGCTTAAAATTTCATACAGATCCCTGTAAGTCATATAAAAGTATTTTGGGAACCAGTTTTAAGTTGACTGATGCTATTCATTTGCCCTAACCTAATACCACTGATATCTATAACAGCAGAAGAGAAGCATCTTTCCCCTTGAAATTAAACCCAATTCCTCAAATTCCACAATCGAAATCAAAACCTAAAT